TTTTTTGGCCTTCTTTTGTCCTTTATTCAGTTGCGTGCTGCTGCCAATGCTGTGGGGGAGGCAACTTTAGAGAGCAAGTTTGGTGCAGCCAGTGAAAGCCTCCGCAGAGGTATAATGTTTGCAAACTCACTCTATCTGTAGATTGTCCTCTACTTTGGTTGCATATTTAGTGCTCATGAAGTTCCGGGAGTGTGGTTCTCATCAACCATCTGTCATTGAGGTATGTTTGTTTTCTTGCATTAGATGACACATACCAGTTTACAAATTTTTGGATTTTTTTAGTATAAACTAGAAAGAGCAGATATTACAATCTGAGAGGCTAACCTATTACTTAAACGCTAACGGAACTGTTAGTGTATATGTAAATTTAGTTTGTGCATTCTTAGGCTAGCAGAGAAATTGTTTAGTGAAATTATGAACTTCAACGCCTTTGAAGAGAAATTGTAAGTTTTGTTGTTCTAGTGGAAATCTACTTCTTAAATCCTACATTCTATTGAGTTTCCGATGGTTATGGTAAATTTACAACATGGTTGAATGATTGGAAGCTTGTGGAGTTTCACTTTTTTAACAAAATTTATTATGGGGAATTGAGGTTTCAAACTTTTATTAGGGAGATTGTTATTGGAGAAAATTGAGGACTGAAACTTGTGGCCAACTTTGAAACTGTTTTTTCTTTCCTTGTCTAATATGACAAAGATATGGGGAATTGAGGAATTGAGGTTTCAAACTTTTATTAGAGTACGACTTTCAACATCACAAAGTGTCAGAAAAATAAATTAAACTAATTCACTATAACATAATAGTTTACTTTATATTGTGGGGATTAGTAGTAATTATTAAGTTTCTATATTCTTGTTTCCTTTATTCCAATATGAATTGTAAGCACACCATCTCTCTCGGGCATACTTACACAAGATTCTTTGGATGCTCCTTTTGAGTTTCCTTATTTTGGACTGGGCCCTTTTGTAATTTTCCATCCTTGAGTGTTTGGGAGGAAATGCCTTATCTCCTTGCCTTTTTTTCGTATACTCTCTTTTTTTATAGTGAAATCTTTGTATCTTATAAAAAAATATATTGACAGTCTGCAATCTGCATGTTCATCCAGAAAACTGACATAATTTATAAGTTGGAATTCATATTTACATGCAAGGATATTAAGAGTAAAAAACATTACTAAATTCATCTCAACCAAATTAGAGGAAGTTCTTTCTTTTTGATAGTAACCTATATTTTATTGATGATATGAAATATTAAGGAGTGAGGAGCTCAACCTCATGAGCATTTTATCACAGATGGATATTAAATTAGTGGTAATTTGATACAAGGATAGTTTAAGATTTATTTTTGAGAAGTAGATAATAGAACAAAAGTAATTGTTAATAGAACAGAAAACTAGAAGCAAAATAGTTACCATACCAGCCTTTACTCTTTTGTATACTTTCAATGTGTTTGAGCTTTATGTTTCTGGTGAGACCAATTTATGCCCATTTCTCCAACTGTCCATAAACTAAGTGGCTTACTTGAAGCATGAGAAATAATCAAGTTCTATAGTAGACATTCCTGTGAATTGATATTTTCATTTTTTGGGTATTATAATTGTGCTGAAATTAATTCTGCTGTCTTTTGCCTTTGCTGTGTTGGTTGTTTGGAGTAGTTATCTTCAATGGACTAGCCCATTGATTCCTTGGTTAGAGTAGGAACCCCTGGATGGCATGAAAATGCTTTTTATTTCTTTTTGACTCTTTCTTCAACAATGAATACAATCTGTAAGTTTAAATTATAACAAGACCAACCCCCNAAAGAAAAGAAAAAAAATTTATACCGAACTGAGCTGAACGGAACAGAACCTTGTAGGATAGGACATTGTTGTATAGTGTGAACACTTTGACCAAGCTAAGCAGTTATAGGGCTGAAAGCCACAGTTGAGTGGTTGGCAATATGCAAACTGAATTGACCTCCTTTTTCACTCACATCAATCTTCTCCATTCCAACTGGAGGCTTCATTTCAAAACTAGTCACCAACTTAGCTATGATCAGTCCCAAAATTGGCATTGCCAAAACAATCCCAGGGCAACTTCTCCTTCCAACACCGAATGGCAAGAATCGGAAATCGACTTTACCTCCTGCTACAGCTTCTATGCCACTTTCTTCTTGGAAGAACCTCTCTGGCCTAAATTCCTCTGGATTTTTCCACCATGCTGGGTTGTTGGCCAGCCACCATGCATTCACCACAACCTTGGACTCTTTTGGAATTGTGTAGCCTCCGAGCTTGGCTTCTTCCAAGTTCATGTGTGGTACTAGTAATGGTATTGGTGTGTGTAGTCTCAACGTCTCTTTCACTGTGGCTTGCAGATATGGCAGCTCATTCAAGTTAGATTCGGTGACTTCCTTTCCTTTTAGGACGGTTGAGATTTCCTCTCGGATTTTTTGTTGGACGGTTGGATGGTTTACCAACTCAGCTATTGCCCACTCCATCGACCAAAGTGTCGTCTCTATTGCTGCAACGTTAATGTTCTCCACAATGTATATCACATTCTCTTCACTAATTTCTCCTTTTAGCTGAGCATCTATAATGTGATCCATGGCACAGATGATCTTGTGCTTGTCTCCATTGGCAGCCATTATTTCTCTGTCAAAATGGAATAAGTTTTAGTTGCCACGCCTTTTTCCAAGTTGTAGTTTCAATGGGTTATTGATATCATATGGCGAAACATAACATAATCATAGTGATGTGATGCATACCTTCTTTTCACAACGTAGTTGTCGTTGAAAAATGCTAGCCTCCTGCTCTGCAAATCCTTGCACTTGTTCATGTAACCCCTCAAAAAGGGTCTAAGAAAAGGAATGAAATCTCCGTAATTGTACTCAAAACTTTGTGCCAATCGACTTCTTTCAGAGTTGAATCGAGTTGCTTCAATGAACAAAGGATCATCTTGGGACTCAAACTTTGCATCAAACATCATTCGGTACATGATATTGTACAACATAAGTTGCAAGCGCTTTCTTACGACTAACCCTTCAGATTTCACCTTCGGGTTCTTCATGAGGTCACGAACAACCAAATCCATTTCTTCCTCCCACATGCCACTGTAGTTATGCACAACTTTGTTCGTAAAGAACGGTAGTGTCATGATTCTACGCATCTTACGCCAGTGGTCCCCATAAATGGTAAACACCATATCTTGTCCATTACCAGTGAAAATGTCGAAAACGATATTCCGTGGGCGAGAGCCAAATTCCACACCTTGAGCATGGAGGACTTGGTTGGCAAGCTCGGCATCAGACACCACAACCAGATTCTTGTAACCAAGTTTAAGGCGGAAGACAGAGCCATACTTTTGCGACAAAGAAGCAAGAAGGCGATGGTTAAGGTCGTTCCCGACTTGGAGCCAGTTGCCAAAGATCGGGACAGGGACAGGACCCGGAGGACCTCTGGAGGAACTGGACAAGGCAAAGAAGATGAAGGAAACAACAAGTGCAATGGAGAGAGTGATGGGAAGGATGGTTGGGGAGATGGAGAAGAACAAACTAGGGAAAAGAAACTTGGTTAGTAACCCCAAAGCCATTGCAGAGAGTGAACAAATGAACCCAAACTTTGCTGCAGATTTCCCCATGCTTGTAAATGAGAATGAGAGAGAGGCTTGAGAGATATGGAAGGAGAGAAATGGGTTTATATAGATATGGTGAAGGGGGTAGGAGGCGGAGGGGATTTGGTGAAAAATGGTATTGGGAGAGAAACCTATGGGCTATATGATGAAAATCAAGGTAGGAGAGAGAGATATGAAACATTTTTCAAAGGTTAGAAATTGATAGAGTTGGTTGGTGAAAGAAAAAAGCAAGTTGGGAGATCAAATTGTGTCAACTTTGACCATATTCAACTTGCTTATATCCTCCAATCTTAACTATATATATATATATATATATATTTAGAACGCCGCCATCCATAAACATGAGGACTGAGGACGGCTCATAATTTTATTATTATTCATTGCTATTGCTAATTCCAAAGGAACCAACCACCCCACTTTCCTTCTTCCCTTGCACTAGGGTGACACGTCGACCTTTTTTTTATGACGTTGACATGGAGAGTGAATCGACATTTTCATAGTATTTCTAAAAATAGATAACATAATGTTAATATTAATAATTTTTTACTTGAAAAAATGGTAAAATGTTTATTTATTATGATTTTTTTTATTTTTGTAATAGGTTTGGAAATATTTATTGCCATCAATATTTTGTCGATATTACATTGAGATTTCGACATTTCTAACATCAACATTTAAAGCCTTGGGTAGGAATGGTATTGAAACTTTTTTTTTTAATTTGGGTTTTGTTTGTCAAAGAAATTATAGAAATTGCGTGATGAAAATGGTATGTTATATTAATAGGAGCTTTTTTTTAAATTTTTTTATATAACTATAAAAACACAATACAGTGGTTAAAATATCTTACTATTTTCAAGGTTGAAAATTCAAATCTTGATCACCATATGTTATGTTGAACTATAAAATGAAAAAAGGGGGTGGTTTTTCATATTATCTCAAAAAAATTCGACATATTTAAAAATATCACTTTCTTTGATTTTTTTTTCCCGCTTCACGTTATTTGCTATGAATTAATTGTTCTCTATTTAAAATCATGGAAAAGAGAAATTTCTGATTTTCCATAAAGCAGTTCAAGGGAGTTGACAAAAACTAAAATAAGATTTGATTTTCCAAACACGTGGTGTTTTTTTTATAAAGCAAACGTTTCTAATTTTCAATGATTCTATATAGGGGGTAAAAAGGGAAAAAGAAAAAAATAGAGCCGCCAGAAAATTGGTGACAAATATTTAATTTCAAATTTGTAGAGAAGTGGAACAAACGGCAAAAGGGAAGAATAATAGAAAARTATGAAGTGGAAGTGAAAGTGGATCTCATCATTTTCATACCTAAACCTAACCACAACAATGGATTAAAATATTTTCATAGGCCTAACACGACTTTAACATAGCTCAATTGTATTCTTGTTAAAAAATCCATTTACGGATCTATATGCTTCGATTGGAACTGGAAGTTCCAGAACAGGCGGCTGGTATACCACCATAATGAAACTGCCTTTTCTTTTTTTTATTCGGATAGGATTTCTGTTGGCTTCGTTGGGAGGCTCGCGTAGTTTGTTACGTCAGCTCCAAAAGGATAAGTTGCGTTGGAATTGATAAAGTTCCGTGGAGTTCATAATTGCATAAAAGGAGGAGAAGTAGTGGCTGCGGCGCGTCAAGGCACTTCTTCGACGGTCCCCGTCCGCCCGGCCTGCCGGCCCGCTCTGAAGAATGAATGGGCCGGCGAGCCTCCAGGATAAGGGGGCGGGCACTACTAACCAAGCCAAGCCTAGTTCTCGCCGATAGGCGCTGGTAGCTTGCATCACCTCAAATATTATTGAACTCGAATTAAAAAAATGATAAAAAGAAATGAAAAATGGTGTTGGGGATAAAAGGTAATCAGGTAGTTAATTTATTGTACGATTATTAATTAAGTGAAAATTAAATAACCATTTAAATTAGCATTAACTAATTAATTAGTTAAAGAGTTTATTTATTTATAGTTTAAATTTTGTTTTGAAACTTGACTAGATAGTACACTTTTTTTAGTTATTTGATCAACAGACGTTTACATAAGCAAGTGCTTGAAGTAAAAAATAATTAGGTTCTTATTCGATGTTTCGACTAAAATAAGATATATATATGTACTCATTTTCATTCGAAGTAGCTATGTCCGAGTTAATATGATATGAATTAGACATGATACAGGGTAAAGAATAATGCTTTTCATACCTCAATTAAACTACAGTATTTGTTTCTACTTTTGGGTTTTTAGTTATAATGATTGCAACTTGAACTTATAAATGGTTTACAAATAAACCATATTACTGAATAAGTTGTGCATGTGGGGTAAAACTATATTGCTATTAGTAAATTTTGCGAGAGTAGTGACTTAAATTGAATGTTTAAGGGTGTAATTATTACCGTTCTTCACTGGTAAATTTTCATTAATATTATGATTAAGTTTACCAGTACACCTACTCCCTCGTGTTTTTTTTTTCTTTTTTCAAATAAGCAAATCATGCCAAATTGGTGTATTTATCCTTCAAGTGTTTGCAAATCCAAAGATGTTAATTATTTTGGGGCCAAGACCATGCCATTCTCCTTGAAAGGTTTATTATTCTACCAATCTTTAAATAAAAAACATTACAATAAATACTAAAAAAATGCAATATAATTAATTCTACATATATAGCTCAAACCATGTTAAGCTACTATTGGCTCAAAAACTACAGTTGAGTGATTGGCAATGTGCAGACTGAATTGGCCTCCTTTCTCACTCACATCAATCTTCTCCATCCCATTTGGAGGCTTCATTTCAAACTTTGAAACTAACTTGGCAACAATGAGCCCTAAGATTGGCATTGCCAAAACAATTCCAGGGCAGCTCCTCCTCCCGACCCCGAACGGTAAGAATCGATAATCGACTTTCCCGGCCGCAACCGCCTCGGTGCCACGTTCTTCCTCGAAGAACCTCTCCGGCCTGAACTCCTCCGGATCGCTCCACCAGGCGGGGTTGTTTGCCAGCCACCATGCATTCACCACAACCTTGGATTCCTTAGGAATGGTGTAGCCTCCCAGCTGAGCCTCTTCCAAGTTCATGTGTGGCACCAACAATGGTATTGGAGTGTGCAGCCTCAATGTCTCTTTCACTGTTGCTTGCAAGTATGGCAGTTCATGGAGGTTGGATTCACTTACTTGCTTTCCTTTTAGGACGCTCGTGATCTCGTCCCGGATCTTGCGTTGGATGTTCGGGTGATTTACCAGCTCCGCTATTGCCCACTCCATCGACCACAATGTTGTCTCTATTGCTGCAACGTTGATATTCTCCACGATGTAAATTACGTTTGCTTCGCTGATCTCACCCTTCAGTTGAGCATCTATGATGTGATCCATGGCGCAATTTATCGTGTGCTTGTCTCCATTGGCCGTCATTATCGCTCTGTCCAAATTTGATAACGTTATTGATCGTTAGTTTAGTAATCGTTAGTGGTCAGCAGTAAGATAGATGTCGACTTTTGTTTTAATTACCTTCTTTTCTGGACGTAATTTTTGTCAAAAAACTCCAACCTCCTGCTCTGCAAATCCTTGCACTTGTTCAAGTAACCCCTCAAGAATGGTCTGAGCAAAGGAATGAAATCTCCATAGTTGTATTCGAAGCTCTGCGCCAACCGACTCCTCTCCGAGTTGAATCGAGTTGCTTCAATGAACAAAGGATCATCTTGGGACTCAAACTTTGCATCAAACATCATTCGGTACATGATATTGTACAACATAAGTTGCAAGCGCTTTCTTATGACAATCCCTTCAGATTGGACCTTCTCATTACTCGTAAGGTCCCGAACCACCAAGTCCATCTCGTCCTCCCACATGCCACTGTAGTTGTGCACCACCTTGTTCGTGAAAAACGGCAACGTCATGATTCTACGCATCTTACGCCAATGATCTCCATAAATCGTAAACACCATATCCTGGCCATTCCCAGTGAAAATATCAAACACGACATTCCGCGGTCGGGAGCCAAACTCAACACCCTGAGCATGGAGAACCTGGCTAGCAAGCTCGGCATCGGAGACGACAACGAGGTTCTTGGAGCCAAGCTTCAAGAGGAAGACGGAGCCGAATCGTTTGCACAACGTCGCAAGAAGGCGATGGTTGAGATCATTGCCAACTTGGAGCCAATTGCCAAAGATGGGAATGGAGAGAGGGCCAGGAGGGAGCTTGGAGGAGGATGCCATGGAAGAGATGATGTAAGTAAGGAGAGGAACAACCAAAATTGCCCCTCCAAAGCTAATCGGAGAAATGGGCAAAGTCAACTTAGTGAGACAAACAAGAAGCATTGTAGAGAGAGAGAAAAAGACACTATTTTTTGTTGCAAAGAAAGCCATATCTAAGAGAGAGAGAGAGAGAGAGAGAGAGAGGCTTGGTGATGAATGGATTTGGAGAAATGAAATCATATATATAAGAAGGCCTTTTAGGGTTGGTGGGGTTTGGTGAGAGAGAAAAAAATTCAATTTTTGTGTCAACTTTGATCATCTCCAACTTGCTTTATAATATTGAAGGGAGAGAAAAAGCACTTTCCCTTGACTCAACTGTGTAAGTCAAAGTCAAAGTTTGCATGCATTTGCATTGGGTTTTTCAAAGCCCAAGAGAAGAGCTGGTCAAATATCAACTCCTCAATGAAGCACTTGAGTTGGTTCACTATTTTATTTTGGAAATAGTTTATTTTTATTGGGATGTCAATTTTTTCTATATAGATGGGAGTTATTCCTTTCCCATTTTCATTTTGGAATAAACCTACCTCACTAGTGAAGAATGATGAAAATTCAATGTGAAGATAGTGGTAAATGAATTGCATGATACAATATTTTATATTAATGACGTTGGGCCTGAAGAAATTATATGGATTGCATAATATTATTTTGTTCAAATATTAAGATATTATTTTCATTAAAATGTCAAAGCGAACATAGTTCTGCAGTTATTGGCATATATCTCCAACTAAGAGGTTGTGAGTTGACCAATAGTCCCGCTCAGGCATGTTGTACTAAGAGGTTGGATTTATGTTATTTCTCTTTCACAATAAAGACATCATTCAATATTCTAAGGAAAGGATAGAGACAATATTGAAACTTTAAGAAATATGAAGGCTAAAGATGTAATTTAATTAAATATTTATATAAGAAAAAATCATATTGAATTTTTTTTATTTAATTGTTAAAATATAAGAACATGTTCACATGAGGCCGAAAAACCATAAAATAGTAAAAATATCTAATATATTTTTAATACTATTTTGTGAAAATTATTATTATTATTTTGGTCATATTCACAGATAGTTGAACTTATATTTTAAATACATCAATTGGACTGAAAAATAATGAGTGATATAATTAAGATTTAATCATTTTTTAGAAACTTAGAAGTTTATTATAAAACTAATTCAAACATTGATATTTAATTTGATGACAACAAAGTTTACAGTTAGATGGGCGGTTGAGCCGACAGTTTGTAATACTGTGGGCAGAGTGGGCCCATTTGGAAGGAATTTTTTCATGGGAAACTGATTTAGTCGTGTATTTCCCATTAAAAAAACGTGACTTACCTTTCCTTTTTTTTTTATTAATTACTCATTATCATTTTAAAGTTAAATTTTTTTCTTATTAATTACTCAATTATCATTTTAGAGTTAATAAAAAAAAGATTAAATAGTGTAGAAATTTTAGAAACAACAAAATCAAGTTTTTTATTTTTATCTTTCGTTTCTATTTTTTTAAGAAACATAATTAAAATATTTAATTTAAAAGATTAAATTTCTTGTAAACTTATTGCTTTTGTATTGTCAATTTTAAAGAACAAAATATCTCTTCGTTTCTATTTTTTTCAGAAACATAATTAGAATATTTAATTTAAAAATTAAATTTCTTATAATTTTTTTTGGGTTTGTATTGAAAATTTTAAACAACAAAATATAAGAAATGTTATCAAATATGTTTATATTTCTTTTTTCAATAGGAAAAAAAAACAACAAATAGTTACCACACAGTAAAGTTTTTCCTTATTAAAAAAACAAGAAACAAAAAACTAAATTGAAAAAAAAAGACCATCAAATATTAATGGGGGGACGAGAATGCATTCCATATATCTCCATATAAAATAATTTTGATATTAAAATGAAAAACATTGCATTAAATATTGGTATTGGACTGCCTTAGCTGTCACAGTTTATCATATCATACAATATCTTATCATATCATATTACTCTTAATTCATACATTTTTTATGCCATTAATAAAACAATTATCATACAAACCAAAACCAAAACCAAAACCAAAACCATCTTATTTGTGAACCCTTTTTCCACAGATATTCATTCCTACAAAAGTTTTTGCTACCACCACTTTATTTGATTTGATACCCTTTACTTATCTCAATCACCTATTTATATTTTTATTTCCACATGTGATTACCTAAGCTGCAACGACACCCGAAGCCAAGGCCCGGGGCCCGCCCACGGAGCAAGGCGATGCTGAGTAGTCTTTCATGGCCTCCGATCCACATTTGTCTCTGCAATCGTCACCTCTGATGTGTTTGTCACGGCACTCGACACTGCAAAATGCCTTTTCCCCTCTGCCATGAATAAGAACAGGAAAGTCATTCTCAAGGAAAAAAGAAGAAAAGGATTCCAAGTTCATGAGAATCTTGAATGAAAGCCAACCAATTTGCCAAAGTTTCACATCCAATCATTCACATGTCATCTCATTTCGACCACATGAAGAGAGGACAAGGACCATTCAATAACAAGCTGATGAAAAAAATATCTCGAAGTCACGACGTATCGCTTCATGGTAATGATTCTCTTAACAAAAAGATCAGGTATTTGGGTTTCGAACTACTCAAATTACTGTTATCACCATAACGATAATGACAATGTATTTCAGAAAGTCCAACTAATTTCACAACAATTAGATGAGGAAGATTTTCTCTATTTGACAAGCCTGGAAAAATGGAAGTATACACACAGTCCGAAAATCAAACAAAACCGGAGCAAGCGACAATAATCGAAGACTAAGAGGTAGCTTTGAAGTATTAGCCAAGGAAAAGGCAACATTATTGTCCCATGATTAAGTCATATCCTATTTAATGCCCACAAAAGGAATAATAGTTGTCTGCTGCTGTAGCTAACTTAAAATGAACACTTGAAAGGAAAGAAACAGCCAATTCTTAGAGTTGAAGATTAAAAGAGACTAAAAACATCTAAAGATGAAAACTAAACTCTGCTCTAAACCAAGGATCACATCTGAGAGGAGATATAAAAAATTACTCTCATGCCTAATCTCCAAGAACTGTAAACCAAAAGTTACTCGAAAATATGGATAGATCGACAAATTTCAGCTTTCTGCTACCAGTTTGTTTACACATCTAAGGAAGGCTAATGCAGTTAAATCTGCATTGTAACAGTTACTGTATGATGAATTGAACACGCTCATCCTTGACTTAATCGAAATATTTTTAGTTGCTTCTCAACAACTACAGAATACCTACTTCAATAACCTTACAGAATGCATAAACTGACCTAAAAACTACTCCATCTCTTGCAACAATCAAACTGAAAGTTTATATTTCTTATTAGACCACAAAGTTAAAGAAAAACCATTTTAACCTTACAACTTAATGAAACCATCATAATTTTCAACAACAAAATGGGAATTTCTTCCTTTTTATTTAAGCCATAACATCTTTATGAAACACTAGGCTCAGATGCAGATGATGGAAGTAAATGAGGTGATTATAATTATGTTCCAAGCTGTACAAACATTTCCCCAACATTTGACAAGAAGATAGAATCATTCGTGTGTTCATCAAGGTCATAGGTTCTACAGGAGACAGTAACCCAACTCAATCATATCAATCTAGGAACAAATACAAGCATACCGACAAATACCAGAAACAGGGGTCCACTTCCTTGTCGAATCAAAAACAAATTATGAAATTCAACAAATCTTCCCACTTGAAAAGCAAATTTTTAAACAGATGGAAACAGATCATAAAGTTCCAAAATCTGCAATGTGGAACTTGCTACTTTCTTACAGGTCCTAAAGAACCATCTCTTAAACCAATATAGAGAGCAGATTAATGAATCATTCATCCAGAGAAAACAAAGTCATCCATTTTACCTATAACATGTCATAAATTAATCAACCAAGAGCATGAACCATCGTAACCAAACAACAGTATAGAAATCAAAGAATATCATGATTCAACAACATAAAGCTCCAAGCCTCCAAGTCACCATGACTCAATTTTCTTTCCTTATGTATAGAAATACCAGTTTTAATGTTTCTATGTACCAAATATTAACCAAAATCAAATTGTGAAACCAAGACAAATGAGGGAAAGGGGCAGAACTCATATTTACCTGTACATGAAGATGTCAAGCCCATGAAGCTGCTTGCAGCAGAGATAGCAAGAGCTCAAAAAATCTGCAGCACAAAAACCTCTCTCCGCAACGCCAAAACTCATGGGGGAAGTAGAAAAAACCCCAGATCTCACCACACTCGAAGAGCGGCCATTAATCAGGTCAATCTCGCCATTAAAGTAAACGCGCTTCTCAAACAGGTGGTTCTCAAGATGAGAAGTCACGCAAGTGTAAATTTCCGACAGTTCATCGACGACCTCAGGTTCCTTCTCTAGGTTAAACCCGCCTCTGAAATTCGCCGCTGGTTTAGCAGAAGAAACGATGGGAATCGAGCAGGACCTGGGAGAAACTGCTCTCGAAGACACAAAAGCTTCAGGGACCTTGTCCGAATCGGTCATGGCGGCCACTATGCCTAATCCAACCACACCCTTCTCAAAATCGCGGGGGGATCTCGTTTTATCAGAAGAGAAAGAGCCCGACAAGGCGGTGAAGAGCGAAAGGCTGATGGTGGGTTTCCTCTTCCCGATGAAATTCTCCATTTCCAGCCAAAATTTTGATTCAACCCCTCAAAATCTTGAGCAGAATCGGCTGGATTCCAGAGGAGAAATCGTCAAACAAGAGCAAAAGCTACGGGGGAGGAGGATTGACTCCGTTGGAGTGTAGATAACATTCGGAATCGAGTAAATTGGAAGAATTAGTGCACAGATCGTCACAAAGAGAGAGAAAACACCGAAAAATCCCCTTCAAATTAGAGGCCCGATGAGTGCGAAAGAAGCACCACAGCGAGTTTATTCACAAACCCACTACAAAAATTGAAAGAATTGTTCCAAAAAGCTTTGAGAGAGAGAGAGAGAGAGAGAGAGAGAGCCTTTGAGCCCTCTATGGTCTCTTCTGAAACCTATTGCTTTGGTTGCAGAGGAATATAAACAGTTGAAGAAAATAATTATTCTCTCCAACACTCTGCAATAATAATTTCTGGACTGTCACTTTCAACTCTCTCTTTTTTCCCCCATTCCCAATTTTCCTTCAGCTTTATATTGTTGTTTATAATACTATTCCTATTTTTGGTCATCACTTTCAAATTCCAAATCCTCCATTTTAGTTCTTATATTTCAGTTTTGGTATGTATGTAGTTTCAAAAGATTTTTTTTTCGATAAATATGTATAAATATGTATAAATACTTCAAAAGATTTGTTTTAACCTATTATTCTGAAAAGGGATCATTGTGATCTGTGCTTGCAGAATTTTGACAAAACCTTTAATATACAATTCTCGCTACATTTTCGATAAATATATTGAGTATAATATCGTGTTGAAATTGTGATGGAAAAAATGAGATAAAAGAATAAAATGAAGGAATCAAAACGATCCCTTTTTAAAAATATAGAGACAAAAACTAGTGTCTCGAGAGTAAAAAACTAAAATAAACAAAAGTTGAAAGTACAGGAACTAGAATATATATTTGGAAACTACATGGATTAAACAAAAACTAGTAGTGCAAGAGACTAGTAATTTAATCTAACATTATTTTAATTTCTTCACTTGCAAAGTTAAAAATAATAATATTTTAATTTTTCAATTCAGCAGTGAGAATTCGAACATCTCTAGGATAAATATATAAGGTTTTAACTAGTTCGGTCATACTTAGGTTTTCGACAAAATAACCATTTTTATGATTGTTATTTTACCTTTAATCGTTTAGCTTATGAATAACAACGCTCCTAATGGGCCTAACTTGATGATGTGGACATGTATTGAAATTATATTAACCGGTTAAGATAGGTATGGAGTGAGACGTACGAATAATACGATTCATACCGTTAATTATTTAACATATGAATAATACGATTTTGAATATATTTAACTTGCTGAAATGGGTTCAATAAAAATTAAGAGAGGCTTAAACTAGAATTAAGTTTCAATCATGATCTGTAAACAATTCTGCTGAATCAAAATAATTATTCTATTTAAAATCTAAGGACTAAAATCAAATAGAGCTATAAAGAAAATTCTAATCTTCTTTTTTTCAAATAGGACCTCATCTTTTGGCTATTTACTTTCCATACCCAAAAGTTTTTAGTTATTTCAGGTTTTACCCCAACTCAAGTATAAATCTTGTGATTGGTGGTTCATAAAGTTCTCGTTAATTAATATTCTTATCATCATAATTACAAGTGGGCCCTTCTCTCTTTGTTTTCTTATTTTATATCATGATTGCCACTTAAAGGAAATATTTTTCACTCATTATTAATGGTATATTTGGCCAAATGGGTTGTGGAGCAACTTCCTTTGTAAATTAATTTTCTTCCCATATTTTTTTGGTATTCAAAATGAAGGTTTTCTAATTTAGAGTTAGTTTGGGTAATGGGATGGTTATATTTTTTTTTTCTAGGCTAAATATGCCAAATAATTTGGTCACCTTAAATGTATCGAAATTTATAAATTAAGTCCTTTTTTTAGTTGAAACTATTAATATAAATCTAGTCTTATTAAATTGTTGTTTTACGATAGGTAATTTGAAAATTCAAAAGATTAAAAATCAAATTAAGAATTACCAAAAACAAAAAAGAATGTATTGTACATATATTTTTTTACTTTTTATCTTGTCGTTTTGATTTGAATCTACAATATTGTTTGAACTTATTTTCTCTCAATTCACCCGCTTCTTTAGACCAATGAACCATCCCTGATGGTTAATTATAAAAGTCTATCTAGTAAACATTTTGTTGTTATTTTTTTTAATGTGTTTCTAGCCACAATATTATTTTAAAACTTACAACAAAAATAAAATAAAATGATAAAATACTTTTATCTCTCCTCTTTAATAATAACAATTGAAAAGTATATATTTACAATTGCAATAATCCATAAAAATGCATATTTTGCATTCATGTAATGAATATTTTTTCTATTAAAATATGATACCAAAAATTTCTTAATTACTTACCTCGTCCCGGACCGTCGCAAGGAAAACTATAACCAAAATCCTTTTTATCCGGCATTAATTTGGAACCACGTGCATCTAAAGCACCTTTTACTAAGATCAATGCAGTTGTATGTATTTTTTGTTTTTAGCAAGCAAGTGTAGATCCTGATTTGTATTTAATTTCTTGGTGGTAATTTTCTCTCATTCCATTATGGGTAAATTTTAACTCACCCAAATTTCCCATCACTTTGGTTTGTGGACAAACAACCATTACATACTCTGAACAATAATGCTTACATAAATGATCAAATAATTGGGAATTAAAAAGATAGGACAACACAATTATTTGTTCTGGGAATCCTTGCTCTAAACCAAACAAATAATTGCCAACCCGAACATAGTTAAATGGATTAAAGTATAGATGCTAGACCATAAAGTTAAAATTTGAATTTCTATCTCTGCATATTGTTTAGTTAAAGAAAAAGAACATATCTGATCCCTTCTAAAATAGAGATAGGAGAAACTTTCTTCTCAATTGTTTGGAACGTGAATTGGAAATTGATTCAAATATGCTCCTCAACTATTTTATCATTAAAAGAAGTGATGATAACAAATGTGTCTCTTGAGATGTAAACGAGCAATGACAGGCATGTGTAAGGGTAAGTGTAGAAAGTATCGATAACCACTCATATTGTGGGGGTTGGCTAAAAAATGGATCACAAATGTAGCTTGAAAATTGATTACCTAATGATCGTGGATACTTGTCACAATCATTTTTTAGAAGTCATGTCTATCACTACTTCATTATTGTTGACGACGAGTTTCAGAGAGGTCAACGTGTCCTTCGAACGGGTGACTTCGTAGGAGAACAAATGAGCCTGCAACCAAAAATCTCGACACCGATGCGATGTCTTGTCTAATAACCTCTGACGCCCAAGTCAGTAATCGAAGTAGAAAATAGGAAAAGACACCTTAAGTATATAAGAGACAGATTTTTCACTTATTTGATGAAGAATGGTCAACCAGGGAGGATAACAGTTGGGATGGCAGGGGCGGCGCCGCGGGGTACAATGCCTATCGGGGTTGTACATCTCCGACAATAGGCGGGTGGTGCCTCCGCCTACAGGCTGTGAGCCTGTCGCCTATCAGTGGCAGGTCGCGGGCTCGGCATGCTCCCCATACCGTAGGAGTGGAAACGCGTCTCCCTTGCTATCGCAGCGTACAATGCATAACCGTCTGTGGTCCTACACCTCTATTCAAAATTTTTAATATATAGTGGATAAAATTTTGGCAAACAACTAGTTCCCACCACCCCAAAAGCCAAAGGAGGGGAAAAATATAATATAATAAAGTTTGTGGTCAATAATTCACACATTTCCTTATCATCAATAAATTATTAAACAAAAAAAAATCATATCATATGCATAAAGAGAAAAATCTTTGGAGCTTTCCATTTTTAAATTTTAAAATCCAATGGTAGAAGAGGTGACCAATTTTAAAGGCAATGAAGGGGGAAGCTCTGTCAAATGAATTTCTATTTGTAGGTGACCATCATGGGATTTGAACTCATTCCCTCTTAATTATCCTACCCCTTTTGGACCAAATAAGCCACTCGTGATTTTTTCAATTATTCTATATCTTGTCAACATGAGTTCAACTTGTTAAGACAAGTATCTCCAACTAAGAGATAGTGAGTTTGAATTCCAACCACTACATATTGAACTAAAAAAGAAAAAAAAAATTCTCCCATCACTTATTGGACTGAAAAAAAATATTCCAAATTTCACCTTTATTTGAGGTTAAATTACAAAATTTGTCATTAAACTTTTAGTGTTATGTTTAATAGTCTTTTTAACTTTGAAAATGTCTAATAATAGATTCCTAACTTTCCAATTTTGTGTTTAAAAAATATTGAAAAAGTGATGTTTTCCCAACAAAAAAATTATGATGTATTACTTTTTAATATTTATTACGCATTTTCTAAGTAAAAAATGATAATACATCTCAAAAAAATGTTAGAAACGGAAAGTTTTATCATTTTCAAAATTTCTACACAATTTTGAAAACAAATTTTTAAAAATAGAAAGAGAATAGTCTCTAAGTTGATCATGAATCGCCAAGTACTAGTCTCACAATAATACTGACAATTTGCATAAAAAGGTCAGTCCTTTACGTACTAATCATTCACGATTTGAAGTCGCTCTCTTGCCCTGCTTTTTACTCACTTGTTACACCTCTTTCTGTTTTAAACAAAAATAGTTACCACATGCTTATATTTTCGAGAGACTAAAACAAGAAATAAAAAATAAGAGAGGAAAAGGTACCATGCCTCGATAATTGTTTCAACTTTGTGAAACCCGTAATTTAACTTTTATTTTACTATTTTTGTGATTCTTTTTCTTTTTTCTTTGAGGACAAAGCAGTACAAAAATAGGGAGGGAATACGTAATGTATTTGTTTAAAATTTTTAAAAGAGAGCATAAATTACAAACTTAGCAATCATACTAGGCCAATAAAAAGTAAAATTACTCTTTCGTGACATTTAAGGGGGGGAAAAAACAAAAAGCAATGGTATTTTTATAAATACAAAAATTAACCTCTATTTCAATTTCAATTTCAATTTTAAGAGTGAAAGATCACAATGAATCTCTCTCTCCAATTTGATTCAAATTTTCAATTTCAGTTTCAAGAAGTGAAGATCTTGTGAATCCCACTGGTTTCAAGTTCCATTTGAAAAAGGAAATAACTCCGTTTGGTAACGTTCCCTTCCTTATTAATTTTCTTAAGAAATCTAACCCTTCTGTAATTAATTATATATTTTGTTTCTCACTTTTTCGGAACATTCTTAAAATTGAATAAAAAATTTAGAAACAACCAAAATAAATTTCTTTTTTCTGATAGAAAGATTGTTTTATCATACCCATCCAAGATTCATGGAGGTTGAGACAATGCACTCCATTTTTCTAGAACCATTACAGCCTTACTTATTTCTTATTTTCATTTCCAATTTGTTCCAACGTAAATAAAAATATTGTTTTATGTGTTGGTGGCCATGTAATTTTATTTTCTTTTATTAAAAAAGAAAAAGAAAACAGAAACAAAGGACGGAAACATTTCCCTCAATCTTCACTTTACGCCATGCTGACGACTCCCATTTTGCTCTCAGACCCCTATGTGAGCAAGTTATACTAGTAACTTGTTGTGTCATGTTCGTTTTCGTTGGAATCATATTTCTATGCTTTCCGAAACTCGATTTTAGACTTTAACCTTCCCTTCAGGACCAAGCAAAGACTGTTAGTGGTATCGGAACTTCGTCCGTGTTGTTGGATTACCAATGGATAAGCCAAAAGAATCAATAATTTGGACAAAACTATGGTTTCTCCTCCCGCAAAAATTGCATATTTGCTGTGATCCCTAGAGGAGATCCTTTCAATTCCACGTGACAGCACCATAGCCATCCGAATTTTGAGAGGGGCAAACTGGTCCTAAAAGTTTCAGAAAAAAACCGACTCGGTCCGAATTATCGTTCTCACTTCTCAGAGGCTGTTGAATTTCTTGAAGCCACACACCATGGAGCTCTCAAAATCATCATCCCCAGTTCTTCGAATTAACTGATTTGCAACCTCAACCTGTAATCGAAGAAGCCAAGCTCAATCCCCACAATCCAACTCTTCCTTATCTTCAAAATGGATCCCAAACAGAATGAAATTGTTTCGCAAAGGTTAGCGCACAATCCAATCCCCTTTTTCAGTTTCCATTTTCTGGTCCTCGGATCCCAATATCACTGTTCATCTTCACATAATCATCCTTTCGTTGACCCCGTCTATTAGGATTTGGCTCACATCGAGATGTGAGCGGCGGTTTGTTCTTCCGGCCGTTTGAACGGAAACCCATTTCGCAATGGACATGAACTCTCTTGCTGCAATGCTGCCACTTCCACAAATCTTTCCCGCAAATCTCAAACAGAAACGCCTGATTTTCTCCCATCACAGACGCTCCGTGGGTCGAACCTCGGCTCGTAAGGTACGTTCAATCACTGAACTCCAGATTCTGCTCATAATCTCTCAATTTATTTTTAATTCCTCTTTCATCATCCTATGTTGGTCTGTAGCGAGTCTTTGAGATGATTAATTATGCGGATAATTTTTTAGTGGTTTGATCATGTGCCTTGATGTTGCTAGGGCCTGTTCTTGTAAATAAATTTGAACACAAAAGATCCTCTTTGAAGTGGTTAACTGATTTTCTTCTTTTAATTGTCTTTTTCTGTTCTTATGCTAGTTTGAGGTCTGTGAAATTGCAACAACTTCTAACCTGTGCTTGAATGCACTGAGAAAATTAGATCATTTATCAATTGTTGGAAGATGTACAATGGATGATTTTGTGCCAAATTGATTACGTATATTAAAGATATGTTAAGCAAGAAGGTTTGGAGGCAGTGGGTAGATGCCATGTTAAATCACCTTTAGGACCATGTTAGGCTAGGCTACTGGTGACTTAGATTTTAGTTCTGATTGACAAGATCCAGATTTAGGCTATTAAGATAAAATAAGGAGGAAATGACATTGTAAGAATTTTAACCAATATGATATTGAACCATCACTAAACTCAAAACCCTAATATGTTGGGTTGGAGTAAATTTCATCACTTAATATGTTTTCATTGTGTCTAAATGAAATGATCTTTCTCTCTGCAAGAACTTTGGAGGCCTTAGTTTAGGCAATATCAATACAGAAAATCAAATTCAAGTCCTTATTTTTAAATGGTAAGAGATATTCCGAAAGAAAATGAATTCCTTTGGCGTTTTTTCATTTTAAGTAAGGTCCGGATCAGTTTGCGTTTAATTTTTTATTATGCCTAGAGGGAGTTGCCACAGACCTTGGAAAGACCTCACTGATTGTCTTCCATTGTTAACCTGACAATTACTTTTAAAGTTGGAGATGGGTCGAGTCAATGATATTTTTTCTTGAAGAACAAATTTGTGGGGACTATGTCCCTTGTGGAGTCTTTCCCTGAATATACTCGTTGATATGACTCACCATTTACCTATTGTTGAGGCTTTTATTAGGAAACTGTTTCTTGGAATGCTTTATTCAAGAGGGACTGGACATTGACTAGTGGACAGATATAACATACTTGATGCTCCATTTAAGGGAAATACTCAAGAAAAACACAAAGTTTGAAAGCTTTTGAGGTCAAATTTTTTGGAAGGTATGATGATTGGAATAGATTTACCTTCTTTGCTTTCAAGGAAATAAGTTAGAAATGAGAAAAGGCATATTGACCAAACAACAAACTTGTCACGGTTATGTCCTTGAGCAATCTATACAGCCAATGACACTCTGTATGATTTGAGTCCATTAAACAATAAAATAGAATTAGAGTGCTTTCTTTGCTGACGATTGTGTTGGAGACGTTATCATTACCGTAATTTTTGTTACTTTTGTATGCAATGTACTTAGGATGGAATGATGGATACCCTGGCAGGACAAAGGAGAAGGAAGTTTTGTTGATGATGATTTTTATGCCGACCATTCCCAAATGATTAAAAAGTTGAGCGAAAGACGATTGCCTGTTTTAGCTCAAGAGATTTTCTGGGAGCTGAAGTCCGAAGGTTCTCCACTAAAAAACTCTACGTTGTCTACTCTTATGGAATCCTACATAGATGGTGGTCGTCTCCTCCAAGCACAAGCAATTTGGGAAGAAATGTTAAACAGCTCTTTCGTTCCTTCTGTTAATCTAATTTCAAAGTTATTTCACACTTTTGGAAAGATGGGACGGTTTGATGATATAATTAAAGTTCTGGATCAGGTAAAGCTAAGGTATTCACATTTACTGCCTGAGGCATTTTCACTAGCCATTTCATGTTTTGGGAAGCATGGACAACTGGAATTGATGGAAAATACTTTGAGGGAAATGGTTTCCAGTGGTTTTCCAGTCAATTCCGCTACTGGCAATTCGTTTATTATACACTACAGCATTTTCGGTTCTTTGATGGAGATGGAAACTGCCTACGGTCGCCTTAAAAGGTCGAGGTTTCTAATTGAGAAGGAAGGAATCATGGCAATGGCATTTGCTTATCTAAGGAAAAGAAAATTTTACAGGTTAGGTGAATTCCTTAGGGATGTTGGTCTTGGAAGGAGAAACGTGGGGAATCTTCTATGGAATCTTCTTCTTCTGTCCTACGCTGCCAATTTTAAAATGAAGAGTTTGCAGCGAGAATTTCTGAGAATGGTTGAAGCTGGGTTTCATCCGGATCTGACCACTTTCAATATTAGAGCCTTAGCATTTTCAAGAATGGATTTGTTATGGGATCTTCATCTTAGCCTTGAACATATGGAACACGTGAAGATTGAACCCGATCTCGTGACCTACGGCTGCGTTGTTGATGCATATGTAGATAGAAGACTTGGAAGAAATCTGGATTTTGCCTTGAGCAAAATGAATCCTGACCAAACTCCAGTGTCATTAACAGAATCATTCGTTTTCGAGGCATTGGGAAAAGGAGATTTCCACATGAGCTCGGAGGCGTTTATGCAATTCCAGAGGCAGAAGAAATGGACTTATAGAGAGTTAATATCATTGTATCTGAAAAGGCAATACAGGAGAGATCAAGTCTTCTGGAATTACTAATCCGAAACCCAATACTCGTCATCAAAAGCCTTCACCCAAAAATTACCAAACAATTGTTAGAGTTAAACAATTGTTAGAGTTTGGGGAATGCAAATGCTGTATTGTTATGGCTACGCTGACATTTGAAAGTAGATAATTCTATTTTTACCTGTGCTATTCATCCCTAACTCAGCTGGGTATGTACAGTGTACTTGAAAACATGTTTTTTATATTTGTTTTGTTATTTACTTACGATTATTCTCAGGCTAAGTTCAGTATCAATTTGGTGTCAACATCAGCTTGAAGATGGGATGAAGTCCCTAAATTTGAGTAATTCCAACCTGCAATCATTATTGCTATCAGCAAGAGGGAGGAGGTAAGAATAAGATGCATAACATTAAACATATTACATATAATATATACTATAGGATAGGGTGTGGGCTGAATACCTCTTGAAAAGTGTTTTTAGGTGAAACACTCACTATAGAAGCATACTTGGAATAAATCCACTCTTAAGGGCTGTTTTGTTCAAAGTTTCAAAAGATACCTATAGTAAGATACCTATAGATGACATATGTTTGAGAATCAAAGATAACTGTGTTTAGTTGTGTACGAGAATGTTATCATTTTTTTTTTAGAATAAAAGATGTCTGTGTTCAATGTTACATGAAAATTTTATCAAATTTGCATGGACACTCGATTTAGACCGAACTTTTTGTGGCTACTGTTCTCTTGGCGATTACTTTAAACAATTGTGTGTAATTAAAAAGCATACGATTAATCAAAATTAACTTCAAACAATTAATTTACATTAGTTAGTTATAGATGATAATTAATCGTTAGTTAATTTATTTTCATTATTTTAAATTATTAAAATAATTTTAAGCTAGATTTTAATTTAATTCTCACTTATTAGTAAATTTATTATAAATATAATATATCTAAATTGAAGTGGTTGATTTTATTTAGCAATCAATCTTAATAATTATCAGATAAGTGTGTGTGTGACAAAATTAAACATTTTCATCCATTTGATTGTATCTTTAAAAACATTTTTATAAAAGAAAAAGTTAAGTATATACTTTAACAAATTAGTTCATTATAATAATTAATAAAATAGCTATTTTAATTATTTTTGTTAAGTGCAAGTACTTTTGGTCTTGTGGCAAACCTTAAAAGGAAGGTTCAAATATTACTATGGTTCTTCTATGTACTTTTAAAATGCTCATTTTTGGTCTTGTATTTTTAAATTTGATATTCTTGTTTTATATTTTCTAACGTTGATCTCTGTATTTTTAAAAAGTGACCAAGTTAGCTCCTTTTTACAAAATTAAAGCACAAATTTTATACACAATGAATTTTTTAATTTTTTAATATCTACGAGTGTTCGGACCAACTTACGTGTACCTCGACTAATCTTACGAAACAACTGTTTTATCCTACTACATTTAGTTGCAAGGAAACACWTAAGAACTTCATTAATTACTATGTAGGTGGTTGAATAAATCATGTAATAACTAAAAATGGAATTTTCGGTGGAAAATGTTACGCTTGTGATAGAAGGTTCAAAATGAACATTAAGAATATTATTAAAGCAACAACTAGTTTGATTTATATGCTATCATTTTAAATTTTTTTGCATGCCTCAGTTTGTGTCACATAAATAGTAAATATGTAGGAATTATGAAAATATTAGATTAATTCATAGTGTAAAAAATAATTTTGAAAAATTTGAGGCATGCAATACGGCCAAAATAAAAAAAGACCTCATAAAAATGCAGAGAAAAAATACCAAATTATTAGATTTAACTCCTATATATTGGTGTAAATTTGAAGGAATTTTAACTCTATATATATATATATATATATATTATTACGTTTAGAAACGAGATGTTTAGAAGCAAAATCACTTTTTTTC